GCGAGAAGTGTCAAATGAGAACACCGGTTATTACTTTAAGTGCAGTTTTCTGAAGCTCTAAGACTGCCTTTGCATGGTTAGCTGAAGTTTATAATAATATTATTTTATTTAGTCATATTCTAGCAGTTTCATTGTGCTGCCTTTTTATTCTGGCTGATTCGGGTCCGATAAAATTATTTGTTTCTTGTTAGCAAGGCTATCAGTATTCTCATAACAATAAATTCATTTATGGTCCGAGATCTTTAATAAAGTTACTTGATTGTACTTCCGCAGATGATTAAGTTAGGATTGGTCTAATATGGGCTATTGTCATTGTTTCAGTTCTTAAAATCTCCATGTGACTAGTTCGATCACCGGGTTTTAGATACTGAGGTCAAGCTAGCCCATGCGGGACACATTTCATTGCACACTTGATTCCTACACAAGCGTGTCTCGTCACTCTTGTAACTATGATAGTGCCTTTTGCTGCACTGTTTTGATCCACTAAACTTGGGGCAGCGTATGTAATTATGCTCCTGTCAATGGTTATATATGACCGATAGATCATTTTGACTTTTAGATTCAATGTTTTGCCACAAAGCCTACGACATGTCGAAAGCACTCTTATTTATTTAGTAGCGATATTTTCTCAGTGCACATTTCACATAACTTTCCTATTAAAGATAACCCCAAGATACTTAACGTCTTCGGAGAATGAGATTGATATTTTCCGTCAGGTGCGCCACCTTCAAAAACCCAAAAAATGCTTTTTTTACGATTTTTGGGATTTCTCCGTTTGATAGACTTCGAAATAGATCAAATCAAAGTTTTTCAAAACGTTATATACAATTTGAATTAACTTTGACTTATAGTACATTCAAACATTGGGTGAAACACCTTTAAATACTCGAAAAATATTTTTTTTTCAAGTATTTCAAGTGTTTTTTTGCGAATTTTTGGAGGGTCGATCATATTTTTTGAGAACGATACAAACTGAATAAATTTTAAAATTTTTTTACTTGGTACGTGATTAGAAAATAAGACTAAACGCAACTTAAGCCCTCTACCCCCACGCCCTACTCCCAAAAAAGGTCATTTTTTCGTTTTTAATATATTTTTCGATGGGTTGCACACAATTTAAAAATAAAAAAAAACATGTATAGTTGATTCTTTTACAAAACTTGTTTATGTTTGTACTCATAGGTCTAATTTTGATTTATTTTGTGTATATAATCAAAAAATTTATTTCTGATTTGTTCTAGATTTTTCCGTAAGGTGAGCCAGCTTCAAAAATGTGATCAACTGTTTTTTAGGAGTTTTTAGGGAATTTCCCTCTTGTAAGATTTCAAAATAGATCAAATCAAGGTTATTTTATAGGTTATATATATTTTTTTTTGTCAGGTTTTGCTGATGAACAGCAAATGATGTTAGAACCAGAAACACCAGAAATCATTACAAACGAGGAAGTCGAGATAACCGTACAAGAAGTAAAACAAACTTGGAAAAACTGAAGAACAGAAAAGCTGCAGGTAATGATGGAATTCCAAATGAATTATTGAAATATGGTGGAGAAGCATTAACAGATCAGCTAACAGCACTAATTAACAAAATCATCAAACATAATAAAATACCTGAAGAGTGGAAGAAAAGCGAGCTTATCCTACTATACAAAAAAGGAGATAAAAAAACAACCTGAAAACTACAGAGGTATCAACTTATTAAACACCACTTTGAAGCTTACAACCAAAATATTGCAAGGCCAAATAAATCAGAGAATTACCTTAGCGGATGAACAGCAGGATTTTCGCACAGGAAGATCGTGCGCAGATGCAGTATTCATCATAAAACAGATTACCGAGAAAGCACTAGAGTATAACAGACCAGCATTCATATGTCTAATAGACCTGAAGAAAGCGTTCGATAAAGTAAAGCTTAAAGATGTAATTCACCTTCTTTACGGTAGAGAAATTTCCACTAGATGTTATAAAATAATAGAGAACATTTACCAGAACAACAATATAGAAGTCAAAATAGATGACCAGCTTACAGATCCAATAGATATGGGCAATGGAATAAGACAAGGAGACTCGCTTAGTCCAACGCTATTCAATCTAATCATGGATGAAATCATCAATACTATTAATAAAGGAAGAGGATACAAAATGGGAACAAAGAAATCAGAATACTCTGCTATGCAGATGATGCGACCCTAATTGCATCCAATGAAGACGATCTACAAAGACTAACCCATAGATTCAACACAAGGGCAAAGGACTTTAATGTGGTGATCTCTACACAGAAAACTAAAACAATTGTAATCAGTAAAGAACCAATTAGATGTAAACTGGAAATCGACGGTATCAGCATTGAGCAAGTAATGGAGACAAATTACCTAAGAATTACACTGTCTAGCTACGGAGATGTGGTGAAGGAAGTGAAAAATCAAGTACAAAAGGCTAATAAAATAGCAGGTTGTCTTAATAACACGATATGGCGCAATCCCCACATTAGTACCGACGTGAAATCAAGAATCTACAAAGCAACAATAAGACCAATAATGACATACACTTCAGAGACAAGACCGGATACCTCCAATCTCAGCAACTACTAGAAACAGCGGAGATGCATTTACTGAGGAGAATTACAGGAAACACACTGAGGGATCGAATGAGGAGTGAAGAGATCAGAAGAAAATGCAATATACCAGAAATAAATGAGTGGACACTGAACAGAAAAAAGGAATGGAACGAACCGTTGATTGAATAATCCAACGAACACATAAAAGATGGAGTGATAACCTCCAATAGAGGCATTAATCGACATTGAACAAGCATTTTGCTTATAAAAAAAGAAGAAAAAGAAGAAGATATATAATTTGAAGTAACGAATCCTATAAGACATTTGAAAATTGGGCGAAATCTCTTTAAACTCCCTAAAAAACCATGATTTTTCAAAGTTAATCATACTTTGTTGAGATCGATACAACCTCAATCAATACGTCTCCAATTCATATTTAAAAAATAATTCATTATTGTTAATGCGAAAAATCAAGTTCTCAAGGGTTATTCGTGGGTTCTTACAGGATTTATAGCTTTTTACTTTTTTACATAATTAAACAGCATATTTTTAAAAGTTTTATAAAATAACATGTACCGACTACAAAACATAATTTGGATTTTTGATTTTGAAAAAAAAATGCTTTTTAGATTATGTACAGTCAACCTACGGATCTATTAAATAGACATATTTTGTAAAAGCCTCAACTAAGCATGTGATTTTTTTTGAAATGTTTTAAATTGATTGTAACTCACTGAAAAAAAAAAATAAAAACGAAAAAATTACGTTTTTGGGAGGTAGGGCGGAAAAACCCTTTAAAAAGCATAGTTTTTTGGGGGGTTTAAAGGTATTTTGCCCAATTTTTAAATATCCTGAATGACTCAGTTACTTTAAATTGCATATAACCTATAAAAAACCTTTGGTGTTTTAAAGTCAATAAAATGAAGAAAACCCCCAAAGAAACAGTTTTTAGGATTTCTGAAGGTGACGTACCTGACGAAAAACTCAGAAATATAGTTTTTAATTAAATACACAAAATATAAAAAACATATATATGCTTTTTTTGAAAAAAAAATGCATTTATAATGTGATCACGGTCGACAGTTCGGCTATGTCACGTAACAGATTCGCTTGGTTACTAGAGAATTTACATCTGGTTGATAATACGTGCGCAGCCAAAAAAAACTGATTCCGGATTTGACAAACTTTACAAAGTGCGACCTCTACTGCCCAAACTCGTCGGATACGACGCAATATCCGACAGTACATGCCCAATAAACCTATAAAACGTTGCAACAAAGTATGGATTATAGCAGATTCAAGCGGATTCATGTGCAAGTTCCAGATATATACCGGTAAAGTGGGAATATCTACCGAAAAATCAACTGTATTGACCTCCAGAGATCTTTTAGAAAAAGAAAGGATTTACCAAAGTTCAAAACCGACAAACAAAAAAATCGAGGAGATTCAGATTACCCTATTTCAACAGCTGGACTATCTGCGTTGAAGTGGATGGATCGCAGAAGCGTGATTCTTTTAGCAAACCACCAAAATCTAGCAACAAACGAAGTTGTAAAGAGAAGACAAAAAGACACTACTCCGAATGAGGTTTTATGTTCACAAATGGTAGTGCTCTAGAACTCAGATATCTGATATGTTGACAAATTTGATATGTTGAAAAGTCTTTATGAGGTGAATCGTAAATCACACAAGTGGCATAGAATATTTTTTTATTTGGTGGATGCTTGCGTTGTAAACGCATTCATTCCATTTCAACTTTAGAAGCCAATCCAAAAGTATGTCTTTAAACGAATTCCGGCTCTCTGTGATTAGAGGCCGTATTGGAGCTCAGAATATTAAAAGGAAAAGACCATCAGTAAAAAACTGAGTAAATTCAAAAGGCATATTCCTTGGAACTGCGCTATTTAAAGTCTTCTTATATGCCAAAAAAGAACTACTTTTTTAAGATGTGCCAACTGCAGCATGACCGCAAATGTTAGCAGAACACAGTAGAAATGTTCATCTTGCAATGTCGGACTTTGTCTCAAACACAACAAAAATTGTTTTGCAATGTTCCATGCAAAACAATAGAAAGAATAGGAAGAAAAAAATGCTACCTAGTTTGTACTTCTCATTTAATTTTTTGTTACGCTATGTTCCTGCTGGTATCTTGAGAAAACCACATCCTGCAGGATATACTTCAGGATCAGCATTGTTTATTTTGACTGATATTGTTTCAAGAATATACATAAATTTCACAAAAATCCTGTTTTTTCTAATTTTTGGGCCTCAAATGATTAATACTGCTTATAATGAATTATTGGGTAAACATGTCGCTAAAAAACTGGCATCAAAATATACTAACGAAGATAATTAAATGGTATTAGTTTTAACAATGCATTTAAGGGGGTTATTAATGATAATACTGAAAAGAGGAATGAATTCAAAGAATGAGTCGTTTTGTTGAACAATTATTTTTAATGTGTGTTTTTAACATATTATCCATTATAAGATAACGTAGTATTAGTATAATTATATCTCTATTTACTTATGTTTGCATAAAACTGAATCATTTTAACATCTTAATTATACGTTACATAAAAATCATTGTAAAAATAAACATTTTAAAAATAAAGCTAACACAGCTGCTCCCAATCCTGTAGAATGATCTGAACATCCAAAATCTACAATATGACTACTTCTTTTTTGAATATTCCGAAATTCTTTTGAAATACTTTCAAAGCAACCATGAGGATTTTGCCATTTTATAATTGTTTCCAACCATGGTCTATTTAAAAACTCGGAGTAACCTTCAATTCCGCAAAGAACAACTAAAACAAATTAATGATAAATAACATAATTTCAAAATAAAAATTGTGTAGAAAGATAATTCTTAATTAGTAGAGTAGATAAGTATTCTTCAAAATCATTAGAGACCTCCATGGCTCCAATCAGTTCTAGCACAGTAAATCAGTTTTGGTAGAGCTTACTTATATATTTATATATATATATATATATATATATATATTATATATATATATATAATATATATAAATATATATATAATATAATATATATATATATAAATATATATATATATATATATATATATATATATATATATATTATATATAAATTGTTATGATAATTTTGCTTTGTATATGAGCAATGAGTGTTTAAAATAAAAAAATATTAGTATAGGGTTTTTATCGAGGTTCTCAAAGAATTAGGTTTGTAAGTACTTTTTAAAATTATCTTTATTATAACTATTATGAAACAAACTTATATATCTAATATAAACAATATAAATTTAAAACAACCTATCTAAATTTGAAATTCTTACAATTATTAAATTATATTAACAAAATTTGGTACCTTTCTGTCACTGAATGCCTAAAGTTTTCCAAAATCAATGTTATAATCACCACATAATATCTTCTTAATCAGCCTCGGTTATCCTTGTATTTGTGAAATTACCTATAAATATTATAATTTAAAAGTCTTGTAATTTCCATATAATATACTATACTACTCTATATTGAACTATTTATATTGAATTAATTTACTATCATACTCTCCAACTGTATCTGACTTACTGAATTCTTCTAAGTTAATCCTTTCTTCTAATTTAAATTAATTATAACTGTCTTGAAATAACTTTCTTGATAAATCTAATTTAATAACTTAATTGTAACTGACTGACTGACTTCATGTCACTTAATCCTTTTTCTATCTTAATTTAACTTAATCACTTCATGAATTCTTCTCACTTAATCAATTGTAACTTAATTTCTGACTTCTTCTAAATAACTCACTTAATAATTGACTGTAAACTTAATGACTTCCTGTAACTTAATGCCTTCTTCTAACTTTACTAACTTCACGAATCAACTGTAACTTACTTAATAATCCCCCTTGCTCCAAATTACATCGTTTATATATCTTTTCATGGTTCCAGAATCATCGGGAAAGAAATCATGTTCTAAACTTTTCATCTCATCCATAGATGAAAGTTCTGGAATCATCTACTATGCAAATAGGATTAACTGTCTTGTGTATTGACGATTTCCAGAAAATTCTAGTAAGAACCTTATGGACATTTAGGCTTTCAGATCAGAATTCACTATTATATATATATATATATATATATATATATATATATATATATAGATATATATATATATATATACATAAACTAAATATCTTACACTAATATACTACTATTTTACATCCATAATTATATTTAAATTAAAATTCCAAAAATATAAATAACCCCACTTCACATCTGAATAACACAGTGTATGTTTGGGTTGCCTATGTACAAGGCTCACTTAAATATATTTATTTATAGAATAGAATAAAATAAAAAACTTTTAAAATTTAAATCCTAATGCTAAATTTTCAAAAATACCCTCATATAATTAATTTTTAATAATATTTTAATAATATTATTATTATAATTTTTAATAATATTTTTTTAATAATATATATTATTATATAATAAAATTATATAATAATATATTTATTATAATAATAAAAATTTAAAAATTTTTAATATTTTAATAATAATAAATAATTATTTATAATAATATTTTAATGAGAACAACATTACCGCGGTATCAAGGAGGAAGAGGACTTATGGATATAGGTGAGCAATTAGATAAACAATTGCTAATTTAAGATCTTATTTTCAGGTACAGGCTGAGATATCTACTTTACATCGAGCAATTTGCGCAGTAGATGACACAAACGCCGCTTAAACTGAGGGAACAAGAAATGCGCACAAACCATCTGACTAAGCAAGAAAAAATGCGCACCTGGATGAGTAAACCTCTGCATGGCGACATCTCAATGAGATCAACCAAGAATATGTCGACAATACAGCGTCGAACTATTGGTTGACATCAGGAAAGATGTTTCCCGAGACTGAGGGTTTCTACTTGCCATTCAGGATCAGGTTATTCCAACTAAAAATTACCTGAAATATATTGTTAAAGATCTCAAGTCCAAAGCGACAAATGCCGATATGGAGCCAAGCCAAGAAACCATCCAACATCTTACCGGTGGCTGCCAGGCATTTGTCGGTACTGATTATAAAGAACGCCATGACTCAGTAGGAAAGATTATCCACCAAGAACTAGCTGACAAACTGGGACTTCTCCAAACCGACCATCTTCCTTATTATCAATATGTCCCTGACAGAATGCTTGAAAATGACAACTACAAGCTATACTGGGACCGCACTGTGCTCACAGACCACCAGTGGCCCATAATAGACCGGATCTCATACTAGTGAATAAAAATACCAGGCAAACAACACTTATTGATGTGGCGATACCTAACACTAACAATTTGCTTGTTAAATACAACGAAAAGATCGCCAAGTATAGAGATCTGGAAATACAAATCAAGAGACAATGGAGAATGGAAAGTACCCAGACAGTACCTATTGTTCTATCTACTACTGGTGTTATTCCCAAAAACCTCCTAGCGAACATAAAACAGCTGGGTCTAAAAGAACATCTTTATAAGGCCATGCAGAAAGCTGTACTCCTCGCGACCTCCAGATGTGTACGAAAATTTCTGGGAGATACTCCGACATACCAAGTCACCTAGGGCTCGATAACACGGAAAGAGTCCCACCAGAGCTCAATCCTTTTGATACCGTAGGTATCTGGGATGATGTGAATTTTTCCCCTTAGAGGAGTGTGAGCCGTATGGCTAAATCTGGGATATTTTAATAAGTAGTATATAACTTATAATTATTTCTTTAACCACTATTAAGTAAGTTTATTAATTAAACATCATAATATTAGTATGCTAATTTCTTGTATATCTAATTATTATTCCAATATATATATATATATATATATATATATATATAATATATATTATATATATATATATTATATATATATATATATGTATATATCTACAGTATTCACTACCTTCCCTTGCTCAACCGTTTTCATCTCTCTCTGTTGTCCCATTCTCCATCGTTTAGGCCTCTATTACTCATGGCGTCCTCTACTTCGTTCCTCCAGGATCGTCGGGGTCGTCTTCTTTTCCTCCTTCCTATGGGGCTCCATTCGGTTATTCTCTTTATCTATCTGCTGTCGCTAGTTCTTTCTTACATGTCCATACCACTTAGTCTTTTTTGTTCTATATATGTTAGTATGTCTGTTTCTATTGATGTTTTTTGCTTTATTTCGTCATTACTTCTTCTATCCATTCTTGTTACTCTGCAGCACCTTCGCAGGCATTCCATCTCTGTTGCTACTATCTTACTGCTGTTTTTCTTGTTTATTATCCAATTTTCAGCCCCTTATGTCATAATACTTCGCACTAATGTTTTATAAATCTGTGTTTTTGTCTTCATATTTAGGTGTATATCCCACCATACTGAGTTAAGTTGTCGGATTGCTGTTCTTGTTTGTCCTAATCTTTGCGTAATTTCTTCCTCTGTTGTTGCCTTTTTCGTGATTATAAACCCCAAGTATTTGAATTTGTCCTTTCCTTTGATTGTTACGTTGTCATCAATCTGTAGATCTTCTATGTCTTCTTCACTTGTAGATAGGTACTCTGTTTTCGCGAGGTTAATATCTAGGCCAGCCTTGGTATATTCTTCTTGTAATTTTTCATCATGTAGCTGAGGTCGTCTTGGTCTTGTGCAATCACTACTTGATCGTCTGCAAAGCTTAACGTATATAGGTATTCGTTCCGTACCGATACTCCCATGCCTTCGCATTTTCTTTTCCATGTAGTCAAGGCTTTCTCTAAGTATATTTTGAATAGGGTTGGAGATGTGGAACAAACCTGCAGGAGCCCTTTTGTTGTGGTGAAGTCTCCTATGATTCTTGTTCCTAATTTAATGGACATTTTATTTTCTTTATACAGAGATTTTGTAGCGTCTATGAGTTCCATCTGTATTTCTAATTTGTACATTGCCTCCCATAGTTCTGACGTTGAGACAGAGTCATACGCCTTTCTCAGGTCCACACATGCCAAATGTATATCTCCATTTTTTGCTTTTTTCTTTTCCAACAGTTGTTCCAGTGTGTATATGTGGTCTATGCATGATCTTCCTGCCTTGAAGCCTGCCTGATCCTCCCCGATTTTGCCTTTTATCGCTTGCTCTATATTTTCTCGCAGTATCTTTCCATATAATCTTCCTATTGATTACGTATGATATTACGCTTATTCCTCTGTAGTTTTTGCATCGTTTCTATCTCCTTTCTTAAATATAGATGTCATATATGCCTCCATCCATTCCTTTGAGAGCTGTTCTCCATTTATGGCTTTCTGAAATATCCATTGCATCATCCGGTGTAATTTTTTTGAGCCGTATTTTATAAGCTCAGGTGAGATGCCCCCAGGTCCCGGTGATTTCTATTCTTGATTGCTTTTATGGCCATTCTCATTTCCCTATCTGTTATTTCTATTTCTTGTTGTGGGGATCTGCTTCGTTTTCGCCTGTTTTCTTTTCCAATGAATTGTGGTTTTGTTCTGTTAACAGTTCCTTGTAATAGTCCTTCCATTCTTTGTCCTGTATATTTACCAATTTAATTTTTTCTTTTGAGTTTTGTTTCAATCCTCTCAGTACTTTCCATTTCTACCTCCTATGTATGTTTCAATATTTAAGCAGGTTCTTTTCCATTCTTCATTCCGTTGTTGTGTTATTTGTTTTTTCACTTCTGTATCTTTTTCTCTATATTCTTTATAAACTTCATCGTTGTTTGTAGTCAGCCATTTTCTGTATAGTTACTTTTTTTCTTCAATTATTCTTTATGTTGGTTCATTTATTTCATATTAGTGCTGTTTATTTTTTATA